AACTTTTGTGGCTGGAACAGATGCGGGGGTGGTACAGGAGTGCAGTCCTTATCTCAGGTTAATACAAACTTAAAACCAATCCATTTTTACTCCAGGAAGCATGTACTGATGTCGGTTTGTATTTCCCTGTAACACGAGGGATAATCCACCAGCATTATATGAAGCTTTTAGTTAATACCTAATAATTCCTTGTGTTTCTAGATCTACTTTCATCTCATAGTATGCTGAAGCACTTCACATATAAGAGGGGACCCGCCTGGGGGACACAGCAGATCAGGAGAAGTGAGAAATTGCTTCATCCTGTTGAATTAAAGGGGAATTTAAAGAATGACAGAATGGGGGTATTGCCAGAACACAGGGGTTACCACCACTACAGTTTATAAAAGTGCCATGGGAATCTTTAGTGACTTTTAGTTGGTTTAACATCTGATCCAAAGAATAGCACCGCCTGGCTGGGCAACTCCAGAGTGCAGAGTGCCACGTACCGAAGAGGTTAGAGTTGGGTCGAGATCTGTTCGTGTGTGAGCTGCAGAGAAATAAAGCAGATTCATTAGAAAAGTAAAAATAGGACAAAATACCGTGTTTTGGGAGGACTGAGTGAGAGAACAGCTATGAGCCATGTCGGGCAAGGGATGAGTACGGAGAACAAAGGAAAGATTGTGGAAATGAATAGAGATGGGAATCTGGGAGCTGAGTACCAGGGACTGTGGGAGGCAGGAATCTGTAAATCAATGGAGAGATTTAGAGAGATTTTGTTTTCTTAACAACCCATTTGCCTCATGTTCTGTTCTAATCCGGCTGACCAAAACAAATTTGTCGTTCAGCTACTGCCTTTGAATCTTTAGTAGTGTGCAAGTTTAGTATGGAATAGTGGATCATTCTTGGAATTGTCACAAGTTAAATCAGGGTTTAGACCAAGTGATTGCCCCTGGTACTTCTCTGCCTTGTATTCCAGCAAAAATTGTTACATAGTATCTCACTGCAAACCGCATTACACTCAACAAAAGTTCTTTGTCACAACAATTTCTGCTCAGATTTTCTCAATGAATATTCCTTTTAATTACACTGTATTAATCCATCGTAGCAACAGCTGTTGCATTAGGTTCTGAGATGTTCATGTTTAAACATATAATTGCAAGTCAAATACAGTTCTTAAGATGGATCGCAAGAGATTATTTTTTCATCGTTCGGATCGTATTTTCATTCTGTACCTTGTCCAGGGATGTGCGTTTAACTTTTTTATTGAAATCTAAACACTGTCAACATCTAAATAATTATTCTTGATGCGAACAATACTTTTTAAAAAGAACTCTTTGTCTGGTGATTCATTCTGAAATAAGAGTGTGCAGGGTTTTTTTTTAATTTATATGTCCTGTTCAATCAGGCAGTGACTTCATTCTCGTGTCTCAGACTTCTGCAGTTCTGCACAGCTTTGTTTTCTCTGAGGGCCCAGCACGGCTTCATAACACAGCTGCAGGAAACCAGTGAAGTGGCCAAGAGACCAAGGGTAGCCTCTACGTTAAATTCTTGTACCAGTTTTATTGGTACACATTCAAATTATCGTATTTTTGTTTCACAGCTTCATAGGCCTTTTGTTTTGAAGTGGCCGACTGGTTTGATTTTATTTCAGCTGTCCTTTCATTGCTTGCTGCTGTGTTGCACAGTCACGGGTTCAGAAAGTCTCCTTCAACACATAAGGCCTATGTCACAAAGTCCGAAGTCTCCAGCCCTGTGGCACAAGACAGCCTTCCACTCCAGGCTATGCTGATAGATGGAAAATGTATCCATGAGATGCAATGATATGGTTCTTGTATGAAAGTGTCGCTCTCCCAGCTCGTGTCTTCTGCTTCTCCACCTGGCGCACTGAACTAATCTGCCCTTCCAGTTGTCTAAAATGTTACCGTACCTGACTGAATTCTCCACTGCTCAGTCTAAGTTTACTGTTGCTCAATCAGCTGAACTCCTGACTCCTATATGTTTCCGCCCCAGCGACCTGGGTTCGAGTCCCGCATGTCTCTACAGTTATTTTCTTAAATTGCCTCTCTGGGAATGAATAAAGTGTTTTGAATTAAAGAGACAAATTACAAGGTATTGCACAAGTACAGTGTAGAGCCTCCCTCCATTAGCTTGGGAAGACTTTCTTTTAAAGTCAGGAGGATTTACAAAGGTAGGTCAATGACCAACAGAACTTGTTTTGGAAAACAAAGTTTACACATTTGGGGTTTCTTTTTTGATTGACATCTTTGGTTTCACATCTGTTTGGAGTTTATACTTTTGAAGGACTGATTCAAAATAAATGGATTTCATTAGCCAAATGATTCAGTTGCTCTGACGTGCAGGAGATTTTTCCTTCTCAAGTCACTCTTGCAGAAACCATTCTGCTCTAATGCAGAGAGAAACCGAATCTGTTGGGAGTATGAAATCCACTCGGTTAAGGGTGGAAGCAGGTGTGTGCCATTTAACTACTGTCAGGCATGATGTTAGCCCTATATTCTGTTGATAACTTACTGAACAATATAGCTGTTGTTAATTTTCTGTAAAACTGAAATGTTTTTCCCTGTGAAAAAGAATCGAATGCTGTCACTGCTGAGTCATCACAGTTGAGATATTGCTGCTGCTCCTCCCTGCCTCCCTCTCTCTTTCCCTGGTGGGTTTCATGGTGAAACCTTCTCCTCAGTGCAAGCGTGCTGTACATAAAGAGCAATTGGTTGCCCACACTTAAGATAATTAGTTCTTTAACTTCCAGTGCCTTATTATGTAATATGAACATCCTGAACTCATTTACCAAAACTAAAGAGAGAGAGAAATTACAGGGAAATTGCCGTTTAAATTCTGGTATGTAAACTTGAACGTCAGTAAAATAAACCAGCAGTGTTAAGTGTTGGTGAGTTTAAGGTTTGGAATGAGCAACCGATCCAAATATAACTGCTGTGCCTTCAGCTTTGAGTCTGGCTGACTGACTGTGGTCAGTGTTCTCCTCCTTCTCCGTGGGTTCACATATAGACACGCTTGTTTATTTGTCCTGATCCAGGGATCTGGGACTCCACAACCTAACAGAGCAGTCTTCTCATCCTTTTAAGTGTTCTTAGGCTCCACTGTCACAAGTACATTATTGTCACTTTAATTTTCCAAACCAGCCTGAAGGCATCATTGAATACTGTCTAGGGCTTTGCATGAACTCATTTCTCACAGTGACTGTCATTGATTATCCTTGTGACTGTTTGTTGCTTTTTTCGTCATATGCATAATTCATTTAAGCTTTTTCCAAGTATTTTTGAAAAGTACATCCACAGATGTAGGTATAAGCTTTTAAATATACAACTGAAGGTTTTTATGAGTCAATCACACTGGCTGAATGGTCTCTTTCTGATTATGGAGTCAGAGTACATTTCTATAGTGTTCTGGAAGCTATGTGAGGTGTGGATGCATATTGACTGAGCTCCTTGTTAAACAATGGTGCCCCAAAGTGCAGCTTAATGTGAAGTCCAGAATGACCGATACATGCTGTAGACGAGGTGAAAATCGGTTTCTGTTTAACTTGGAATCAATAAATGTTGGTTTGTGCTGCTGTGGTTGAGATCCAACTATTTTTCGTTCCAAGCCAATGTGCCCCAGGGACAAACAAGAGTGAAGCTGATGAATGCAGCTTAGACAAGATTTTCCTAATATTACATCAGTGCTCTGTGTTCACAGTCCCACAGATGCAGACCGTGCTGGCGCTTGTCCCTGACAGGCTCACTGAGTGGATGTTAGTCCTGAACGCCTGGTGTTCTGCAGTGTGGTCTAACAGCCTTGTTCATTCCTGTGGTCAGCCTAGGCAGGTTTCTCAGCGACCGCAAGGTGCGTTCTGCTAAATTGCTGATGGCAGTGCTGATGGAGCCGTCACAGTCCCTGTGAGCCTCTGTCCTGAAGGCTTTATAGGCATCTTTAAGTCACCGTTGGCAGAATCGGAGAGCACCACATGGACTGAAAACTGGGCGACCTACAGTGAGCTGGCAGTTGTTAAAAAATTCAGGGCCCCGCCATACTGAAGATGAACCACCCCAAAAATAGCAAAACTGTCTAAATTTTCTGCAATACTTATGCACCTCTAACGTACATCAGCCTTATGCACAACGTCGGCTTCAGTCTGTGCTTCATGCACTATGCAAAATGCCAGATCTAGGTGGGCTTGTAGATTCCCTGTCTCTTTCACGGGTGTCATGTAGTGTGTCAGTGCTGTTCACTGTTGCAGGGCTCAGTCATTGGTCATGACGAGGGCTGACAGGTGTGCTGCAGGTCCTACACTGGATTATAACATCATTTATTTTGCATTTCAGCAACATCAGAGCAGGAGTAAGAAGGTGTGACTTACTCCCGCTTAGTAGCCCTTTTAAAAGATTAGTGAATTTGAATATGACTTTGACACTTTCAGCATATTTTTTGCATACTTTATCCACACCTTTAAATTGCTTTGAAGAGCCACTTTTTTTCCCAGGTTGAATGAGACTTTCATATCTTCACTGTATTTTAAAACACTGCAGTAATAATACCATGGTTTCTACTGTGGGAAACTTGACTGATGCAGACTGTTACCTGGTTTCGTATTGTCAGGTGCCCTGCTGGATGTGGAGAACACATTGTGAATCAGGAGGGATAAACGGACCCTTTCAGGCTTTGTTTGAACACATCTGTGTACTCGTGGGGGGGGGGGGGAATCATTTGTTTGTATATAGGAACTGGCAGCACTGAATGTGTTGAGAGTCCTTTGTAGTTAATCTGCCAGGACGTGTACCCTTTCTAGAGGCCTGTTACACTTGTATTCATTGGCGAGTCTTGCCCGTGTTGCCGTTTTGGAGCTGAACACTCATTTTACCTGGAATACAGTTTTGTAGTCTCCCCCTTTTGGGCTGTGGTGTTTACGTTTTGGCCTGGTGTCCCTCTCTCTAAAGGAGATCTGCAACTCGAGCGCTGCGATTATGAATAACGCATGTGTCCTTGTGTTGTTCTTGCTTCTGTAGGAGCTGTCGAGCTGCGGCTGGAATAAGAAGGAGAAGTATAGCTCAGCCCCGAATGCTGTGGCCTTCACCCGCAGGTTTAACCAGGTGAGCGATGGAGAGGAGAGCACAGGACAAGGAGGCAGAAATAATGGCCCCTGTGGGCAAAGTGCCATTGCTGTCAATTGGTTGAAAAACCTTTTCAATTATACCTTTCTTATTGTCCTTCTAATTTATTCTTAGTACTGAGCATTAGACGAAGCTTACCACTTATAATGGAAGCAAATTCACAGAGTTATTAGGGAATTATTTTTCCGTCACAATTGCACTTACGTTTTATTGAAAGCAGGGAGGTTTGTGATGCTGTGTGGGCACGTGTGTGTGTGTTTTTAAGCCTTTTGCCCACTTTTAAGTGAAACTCTTTCCTTAAAATGACTCCTTGGAAAAATGTATCAGTATAATCCAATGTATCAGCAAATGGGATGAAATTTATTTATAAGTCATCTAAATGTATCATTATAAACACAACTAAATATCCTACATATAAACTTCAGACAGAATACAAATTAAAAAGAAAATAACATCTGATTCAATAAGTTTAAAGTGGAATTAGGTTTTGGGTTTGACTTCCCTTAATTTGAGTGTCCAGTTACTGTTACAACTACATTTTTACTGGGATGAAAAACATAGTTTGGGAGCAGTTTTGGACAGATTTTCATATTTTGTTGAAGTAATGAGTATGTGATAGAGTTTGCATTTTGATTTCCATAGCAATAAGCCAACACCTAACTCAATAAAGACTTTCTAGCTACGCTTAAATATCACCTCTCACTGTTAATTAGCCCAAACAAATAACAACCATAACTGTAACCGTAGCTACATTTGTTGGAATCAAAAATAGTTGGATGCAGTTGTGGACTTGTATTCATATTTTGTTAGGGAAGACAGCTCACAAAATAAAAAAAGACCATTGTGTACTGTGTCTCTGATCTGTGCTATAATGTGGCTGCCACATTTCAAAAAGCATTTTTGTGTTTGAGTTAACTGAAGTCATGGATGTCCTATGTGTTTTTATTCACAGCTTCAAGTGCTTAATCCTGAAGTCGGTAGCGTGCTTACTAATCCATTTAATCTCAGTCCATTTTTTAATATTCTGTAGACCATTGCAAATTTGCCTTTAAGACCATGTTTAGTTTATTGCCAGCCAATTCAAATACTATTGTTATCTTTTAAAGAATGTTTGTGTCTCTAGTGGAAATTCCTACATTTATAGATGTGCTGAAACTGTTTCAAGAAACTTCATACAGGATATGAAATGAGCGTTTTGAATAATATTAGCTGGAAAATAAACACCGGAAAGGTCCTCAAGTTGTTATTCTATTCTAAGCTACCCTTTACATTTCCCATGTTTCATGCATGAAAGCAATTGGTTTTAAAGCCCAGCTTGTGGATCTGAAGCAGTTTTTGCTGCCTCTGCTGCCACCGCAGGCTCCCTGCCACCCAGGGCTCTCTGTAACTGGCCTGAGGCGCTGGTCCAGTTCAGGGCTGAGGCCATGGGCAGTACTTCTGTGGCCTGTGAGGGATTGAGAGTAGAGAACTGGAAGAGGACATAGGTTCACTTTGCCACAGCCGACTCAGTCATGGCTATAATTACCCACAGGAGACAGATCTCTTCCTAGCCCTCACTCCTTTTACAAGCTAAGTCCATGTTATTAAATGCCTGTGCCCTTCATCACCGCTGAGATTTGCAATCTTAAGCTCTTTTATTATTGTTCCGTGTCTAACTGTACTTTAATCGGACAGTTTACAGGACTGTAAATGCGCCGTAAAGAGTTCAAAATAGTTATTATAGTTTTCCCTGTCTTGTGTGTAATTCATGTTGATGAAGATGTGGAGAGAGAAAACAGGAAACTTCAGCCATCCATTCCAGCTCTTCTTAGCCGTCTGTGTGCGGCTGCACCAGCTGGGAGACCCAGATGGGGAATATCCATGTATCGCCAACCAGCTTCCTATAGGTTTATAAGGAAACCCTTTGCATCTCTACACACAAATTAGATAGTTAAATCTGTAAAATGGCAGATCCTGGAATATTGCGACTGTACATTAGTGCTTCTGTAGAGTTCCGTCAGAGAAACGGCACTCTGACAGGTCCAACAGCCGGGCCTCCCCGGTGTTTGCATCACGGCGGACGAGATCCCAGTTCGGAGTTGTGGGAATCGTCCTGCCTGTGCCGTGCAGGAGCTGGAATGGGAGCTCCTCCCAGTTGTGGGTTATGGACTCTTCTTCAGTGGAGTCTTTCTGGTGTGTCAGGTCTGATCCTTCCGGTGTGAAGAGCAGATAGAGGACAGCCGGGACACACCTCTGGCCCTGAGGCGCACAGGCTGCTTTCCGGATTCTTCTCCGTTATACGTGACGTTGGACTGAGATGCACTATTTTATTCACAGAGATTCAATCCTCTGTCTTTTTTGTTTGTTCTTTTTTTCCTGTCCTTTTGTGTCTTGCATTTCCTCGCCTGGCATCTGACAGTTGTTATGGACACCAGCTTATGTTTATAATAATAATAATAATTATAATTATAATGATAATAATAATTGCTTACACTTATATAGCGCTTTTCTGGACACTCCACTCAAAGCGCTTTACAGGTAATGGGGACTCCCCTCTTTTAATGACCACAGAGAGTCAGGACCTTGGTTTTACATCTCATCCGAAGGACGGCGTCTGTTTACAGTATAGTGTCCCTGTCACTACACTTAGGACCCACATGGACCGCAGGGTGAGCGCCCCCTGCTGGCCCCACTAGCACCTCTTCCAGCAGCAACCTTCAGTGATTCAGAGCTTCAGTGGGTTGCCTGGTGTGACTTGCAGGGCGATATGGCTGCTGGCTGCTGTTTACTGTGGTATTTGAAAAAGGTTTTGACAACATGCAAAAATGTGTCAGATAGGGATAAGTTTCCTGCTTTGTCTGTCTTAATTTTTTTTTTATTTACCATATTTTATAGTTTATGGTGAATTTTTCAAAGAATTTTCCTTACGAATCTGGAACAGTTATTTGTTTCCATTTGCACCGAACCCAGCAGAATTGATTAATGTGTTAGTATGACCAGAAAGTAAGGTCAACAGCCAGGAGGAAATGCTGAACTGTAGAGGTCAGCCATCAATAGGTGACATCAGCTCTACAGTACTAAAATAGCTCAGAAGTCTTCGTGCAGCTGATTTCCAGAGGGCTCTCAGGGCCGTATTTCTTACTTGGCTCTCTTTGCTGTTCAGAATGTCAGTGTGTGTCTGACGGAGATTTGAACATGTGGCTTCTGAAAGAACAGTTTGTGCAGACAACTGTTCGAAAACCCGCGGGTGCTCATATTGCCTTGTTATGTAGGAATCTGGCTCAAGTTTGTTTTTGCTCTGTGTAACTCCTCAAATCCAGTCAAACACCGGAATTTATGGTTGTATCAAAAAGGGATCAGTTTTGTGTTGCAAAGGTCTCCAAATGTGAAGCTGGTAGTGTCATAGTTGCCCATTGCTGAGTGTCATTGTTGTGCTGGTGTGTGTTGCAGGTGAGTTTCTGGGTTGTTCGGGAGATTCTTCATGCACAGACCCTGAAGATCCGAGCCGAAGTTTTAAGTCATTATATCAAAACTGGGAAGGTAAACCTTTTCAAATGACATTTGTTTGCTTTTTGAAATGATTAAAAATGACATTGCTACACAATGGAGTATTGTTCCCCTTAAAAACTGCAAAAAAATAGGTGAAAGGTGGCTTGGCAATGAAAAATGACAAACGTTTTTTTTATGTTATATGTTATTAATTTACATAAGCATTTGCAGTATTCAGCACAGTATTTACATAATTTGCTGTGTTCTGTTTGGTTTCTGGTCTATGAGTTTATTTAAGAGCTGGTAGAAGAAGGTATGCAGGTTTGGAGTTTACTTCCCTGAATGCCTTTATAATCTGTGTTTAAATGCAAAATGTCAGTGCTGTTTATTGGAGTTTGGTTTCACTTGGACATAGTTGACCCCTAACATGATAAATACTTCCCTGAATGTGTTTATCATCTTTTTTTAGAAACTCTGCGAGCTGAATAATCTCCACGCACTCATGGCAGTTGTGTCGGGTTTGCAAAGCGCTCCCATTTTCCGACTGACCAAGACCTGGGCGGTAAGTCCACCTCTCACAGGGCAAGAAATAAAGTGCAGGTCTCCATGCAAA